CACAACGTGCCTTTCATGGCCTCCAGCACTGAAGACGTCCTGCAGAGTCACCGGTGGTCAATCAAGAGCCCCCTCCAGCTGCTGCTTCAACAGGCAGCCTCCTCCTCCTCCTCCTCCCCATCTGCAAACCTTTTAATGGGTGCAGGTTGCCCGCGCCAAAGACTTGGGATCTGGGAAGGGTTCAGGGTGGCAGAGTATTGGGAACTTTGCATTTTTAAAAATTCAGACCAGCACTTCCCCGAAACACAGGATCGGGAACTCTGGGCAAAGCAGGCTGAACCATCTTATAGCCCTAGGAGAGGAAAAGACCCAGCTGTGCTCCTAGCATGCCACTGAGGGCTACATCTTATTGTATAATACCTTTGAACAGCAGAGGTGGAAAAGGGGAACCTCTGGATCATCTAGGCCAGCCCTCTGTCAAGGAGGCACCGTGGGGGAATCGAACTCCCAGCCCCTAGAACCCTTGAGCTACCCAGCAGTTCTAGACAAAGCTATTTGACATGCAGGATCTCTTTACAGCCGTTTGACGTGGCTTCCCTCTGACTGCAGCCCACAAGAAATGGAGCACCTCGTGCATTCCCCGCCCCCCAATTCGTTTACTGCTGATAGGTGCCCCCAAGGTTGATTCCTCCTTATGACATCCCTGATAGAGTTTGGGAAGTGATGTCAGGTATTCAAGGAGTGGCCTGCCACTGCCGCTGCATGCACACCCTTGAGTCTCCATGGCTGGGAAGGGATTTGAACCCAAAGAGAGTAACTGGTGCAAGAATGTCACTGTTTGGTGAAGACTGGAATACAGAACCGCCCAGCCCTAGTCAAACAATCTGATCCTTCAGTTGTAGTGGAGGCGAGATTTGAACTTGACAGTGTCTCCATTCACCTTTTCAATTTCTATCACCGTGGCTGGTTTTGGGGGCAGAGTGAAATTTTGAAGGCTGCAAACACTTTCCTTTCCACCATGCAGGTCTTAAAAGTTATGCTCCCTCCAATTTTTGTACTGCATTCAGATTCCTCTTGAGATTTTTTTTTAGATTGTTTATCCTAGTCATCTTAAGGTGCATCTTTGATGTATATTTTCGGTGTGGTTTTTCACCCGTTGGAAAACGACTCCAGACAACATAGGAGGAAAAGAGCAGGGTATTTGTGGATGACTTGTTTACCTGCTTTTTGGGGCAGCTCTGGTTGCTTTAGCCGTGGCCGTGGCAGACGGAAGCTCAGAGTGACAGAGTCCCAGAGCTAGGAAAGGCAGCGAGTTCCCAGCCCCTTAGGAGGGATCATGTTTCTTTGAAATGGGCAAACAAACAGGACTCATAGGTAGCCATGGACACCAATAGCACTTCACAGGTTCCTGACGCCGACACCGACGCATGCAGGGGCTTGAGAGAAAGCCAGGAGGATGTGGGCAAGGTTGCTAAAGGGCTGGGTTGCCTGGCAGCCGCAAATCCCAGGAACCTGTAGTGCCAGCTGCCGAATGATGGCAAGACCTTTTTCCAGTGGAGCGTATCAGCCAACTATCCTTATTTGGTGTATGGTTGCATCCAAATGTCTTTCGGTTAAGCCAGCATGGAAAAGCCACTCCAGGAAGAAATGACTGAGGAAAGAGGTGGGGAAAATGATTTTGACCCCACCGCCCAGTTTCACTGCTCCCTCCCAAAGCTGCATTTCTGGATTATGATGGCAAGACCTTTTTCCAGTGGAGCGTATCAGCCAACTATCCTTATTTGGTGTATGGTTGCATCCAAATGTCTTTCGGTTAAGCCAGCATGGAAAAGCCACTCCAGGAAGAAATGACTGAGGAAAGAGGTGGGGAAAATGATTTTGACCCCACCGCCCAGTTTCACTGCTCCCTCCCAAAGCTGCATTTCTGGATTATTATTATTTTAAAGTAAAGTCGGGTATATTGTTAGATAATACCTGTGTGTCTACATTCTGCCTTCAAAAACTAAACTCCTGGGTCATGGGGGGAATGTAAGAATTTAAGTTATTGACTGCATGCTGAGTGACCAGTGATGTGAAAAGTCACATTTTTACACTACAGCTTCCAGAATTCTCCAGTCTGCATTGCTTAATTGGTTTCGTACCTGAAGTTTGACATGTATTTATCTGTTTAATTTGTGCCACTGCTGGACAGCAACATGGTTGAGGTCTCTGGCTGCCTCTTCAGAGGTTGGGAGTTTGATTCCCCCACCGGGCTTCCTTGACAAGGACTGGATTCCATGATCTATAGGATCTCTCCCAGCTCTGCAGTTCTAAGATTACTAGATCTCACCTGTCTTGTAAAATTAGGACCACAGGGCTCATGAGACTTAAACAACAACACAGAGATATAAATCAAAATGCAATAAGTAAATGCATTTCTTCTTGTTCCACTCCTTCTAGAGGTTGGTAACCAGAGTAGCTAAATTTTTTTATTTTGGACGCAGGCCATGCTACGCAATGATGATGCCTTTGCATCCAAACTGGTTTCTCAGGTTCTTTAGTCAATGAGTCCTTTTCTTTCCTACCTTTCTTTTCTGAACTTATTTTATTTAGAAGGACCAAATGCTTAAAACACCATTAAACCAATTATCCTTTGGAAAAAAAATAAGTGCTTTAAAATCCATTTAAAAGTAGATGGGGGGGGGGGAATATCTCTTCCTCCATTCATAATCCCATTCTTCATCAGGCCTCATTTGACCCAAATCTTCCTGAATTAAAATGGTTTTTACTTCCTACTGGAAGGAGAACAGGGAGGGCTGTAGAATTTGGGAGCAGCCACCAAGAAAGCCCCGTGTTGTTGCCAAAGGTGCCTGTAAATGTAGTGCCTCTGTTGTCAGTGATTCAGCAGCTCCAGTCGGGGTTTTAATCCTAACTTTACAGGAGCGATCCAAGCTGCTCCATCCTGCCCCACCCCATACATTCAGTACCCTGGAGAGCTCTTTTACAGCATGGACTAAAACCTGAAATAGAGTCGTTACCTCTCTTGGCATCAGAGCGGCCCCCCTGTTCGTCTCCCCATGGAAGTGGCCTCCGCGTGAACGGTTCACTCTAGATGTGGCACTGCAATTCTGGAAGGGGAACATCCCCTAGTTGCGCAGCCAGCGAATGGGCAGGGATGCTCAAGGGCTGCATGATGATATAACATGGAAAGAGAAATCCTTGCTCCATAGATTTGCAGTCTATACCTTACAGTACAGCCCATGGAAGAGAGAAGAATGACATAGAGAAGAATGACATCCTTCAGGCACCAATGGTTGGGTTTACCTGAGAAGGGGATCAGGATTAACACCCCCTTTTCCTTCTGCTTCCGTGTTGTACAGGTGCTGGGTTGTCTTGTGTGGGCCCTCATTGCGGACACGTACTACCAGCCTTACCCTTCCTACGGCTGGGTGATGTTCGTCGCCATCTTCTTCTGGCTGGTGACCGTAATCCTCTTCGGGATGTACCTCCTTCGTCTCCAGATGAAGCTGTACATGATCCCGTGGCCAATCGTGGTGAGTACTTGTGAAGGCTGGGGAGAGCCAGAGTCTTCTCTGAGCTTTGAAACCACACTGGCTGTGTCTTTGGTCAACATCCGTGGTCCAGACTCAAGACTCAAGAAGGCACGACTCTTGTATTGGGCTATTTGCAACCAAGGTCTGCTTTTAATACTCAGAAAAGAGAAAGCAAACGGGCGGAGGCATTTGTAACGCAAATCAACGCGCTGCCCAGCATAGGTTGCGTGTTCACATGATAAGTGTTCTCCAGCAGGAGATGCTTTGAGGAGTCAGAAGGTGTCCCTCACAGAGCAATGAAGGGGCAATTTGCAGACCGGGGGGCTCCAATGCTCGACACAATTAGACAGTACCATTTTGGGGACAGTTGGGTTGACAGTTTCTATGCACATCTACTTAGAAGTCAGTCTGTCAAGGTTATTTCTCCCTTGTCTACGATGGCAACCTCAGTTTGATTTCAGGAGGTTAAAATTTGTGTTAATTTATATTTATCACATTATTTTATTTGGGGCATATGCTCTGTGAAGACTCAGGGAAAAGTGAGTAGTCATGAGGTAGAGGGAAGAATAGTCAAACATGCCATAAAACAGCTTTATGTCTTCCTAAACAATCACTATTTTATTTCTCAGACTGTATTTCACAGTTTTAAATGAGATTCTTATCTATGCTTGATTTTTAAAAATGTTTTTACACCCTTGTAATGCTTGAGGAAGGGCTGTCCAATGAAATACAGTGAAGATCTGCTTTTTAAAAATATGATTTCGATTCCAACCATCCTGAAAGTGTATAATCGCTTTTAAAATTTACTTTAGGAAATTCACACACCCTACTTATCTAAAGGAAAGCTAATCTTAAAGGGTGATGCTATATCTGCAAGTAAAAGAGCAGGGCCGTTTCCACAGATAAAATAATGTGGTTTTAGACTACAAACAGTGCACTCATTTACTTTTGAGTCAGCTCTGTGGAACTTTACTTCTAATTAAACCCGTGTAGGATTGTGCACCTCCATCTGTCCTGTAAATTGCTTTATGTCCTCTTTAGGTCTCTGGAAACCACTCCATATTTTAAGCTACTACATTGACGTGCATTTAAAAATAACCTTGTGTTAAACCTTTTGAATGGGATGTGGTGGCACTGTGGGTTAAACCACAGAAGCCTCTGTGCTGCAAGGTTGGAAGACCAGCCGTCATAATATCGAATCCATGCGATGGAGGGAGCTCCCGTTGCTTGTGCCAGCTCCTGCCAACCTAGTGGTTCGAAAGCATGCAAAATGCAAAATGCGAGTAGATAAATAGGTACCACCTTGGTGGGAAGATCACAGTGTTCTGTGTCTAGCCACGCTGGCCACGTGACAACGGAAACTGTCTTCGGGCAAACGCTGGCTCTATGGCTTGGAGACGGGGATCAGCACCGCACCCTAGAGTCAGACACGACTGGACTCAATGTCAAGGGGAACCTTTACCTAAACCTTTTAAAGATGCAAATTAGCCATTATTTTATGTTACTGAAAATTTGCAAAGTGACACTCTTAGAAGGCACTCAAAGCTTTGTGTCTGTTAAAGGGAGCTGAGAGCCAGACGCACAAATGAATAATTAAAATGGTCCCATTTCGGAGCTGTTCGGCAGGTCCTTTTCTCTTCTGGCGTGCTGGCTGATTTCTGCTCGTTTTGTGCCCGGCCAAAGAGCAGATACAGGAATGCAACAGTGCTTTTATTGTGACACTTTCATAACCAGTATGACCAGAATCTGTGCAGCCATCTAAGCCTAAACTGTGGCAAACGTTCCAGAACTGAATGGGCAAATGCATCTCGTTCCCCACCCCCCTTTGTGCAGAGAACATTCTGTTCTGGTGACATTTATAAGCTGTGAATGTACCTGTCACAGGGCATAACCCCAAAACTTGCATGTGCAGATACTTGGTACTGCCACCACACAATTTCTGCTCCAGGGAGGGGCGAGGATGTCTGTTTGAGGAGCCGAAGCAGCTAAGTGGATGCTTTGTACCCAGAAGGTCCCAACGTCAGAGGGATGCGGAAAATGTCACTCTCCAGATGCTGTAGAGCTGCGGTTCCCATGGGCTCTTGTCTGTCTTGACTGGGGACGATGGGATAGGCAAATTTACCCTTTGCCTCCCTCCCTCTCTAGCAAATTGTGATGGTGGGGTTCCTACTTTGGGGGCAGAAATCCCACGGTGGCCGCTGTGGCCAGAGAGTCATGCAAGGTCCTGGGCAGGTGTTGCAGAATGGCCTCCAAGCCTCTCCCTGTCTCTCTCTCTCTTTCTCTTTTTCTCTCCTCCCCAGTTGGTGGTCTTTAACGTTTCGGCCGCCGTCTTGTACGCCACAGCCTTCATCGCCAGCGCTGCCTCGGTGGAGCCCTTCTCCTGGCCCCATTCGCCAGACTACAACCGAAGAGCCTCCGCCTCGGTAGGGTAACGGCTTGAGCTCATTTTCTCCGAGGAGATCGCTGCGAAGATAAATGGTTCCTTTGCTAAGGCGGGGCTGCCGGCCAGCCTGCTTATTCATAAGATGGTGCACATATACACCGTTGCAGTTGCAATATTTATTTCATAGCTGATGGGCTTTCCTGGCAAAGACTGTTAAGAGCCAGAGTACATGCGGGGTTTTGGTTACGGATGCAGTTCAACTACAGTTCCCATCACTCATCACCATTGACTCAGCTAGGTGGGGATGATGGGTCTCATGGTCCCAATAGCACCTGGAAGAGGGGTGGGTGGGTTCTTTACTTGCCCTTCAATATATTTATTTCATAGCTGACGGGCTTTCCTGGCAAAGACTGTTAAGAGCCAGAGTACATGCGGGGTTTTGGTTACGGATGCAGTTCAACTACAGTTCCCATCACTCATCACCATTGACTCAGCTAGGTGGGGATGATGGGTCTCATGGTCCCAATAGCACCTGGAAGAGGGGTGGGTGGGTTCTTTACTTGCCCTTCAATTAGAATGTTGAACTGGTGCTTGAGAGACGTTGCCTCACAGTTCCTCCCATTAAACTCACTGGTTGGTCTTCGGCCGGTCCCCTTTCCTCAGCCTGGCCTACCTCGTGGGGCTGTCGTGAAAATACAGCTGGGGAAAAAAGGCCTCACGTTCACCATGTTGAGCTCATTGGGCGAGTGGTGGCACATCCATGTAACTGAAACCTAAATAAAACGCTACATCTTTGGTTTCTGCTTTTAAACCAACCCCATCGATGACCCTAGTTGCCCCCATGGGGATGATCATCCTGGAATTCCCACCCCCACGACCATCTGTACTTATATAAATACTCAGGGGAGGGGAATGGCTTTCTAGGCCATCATCATCAGAGCTTCGAGTACCAGCAATGAGCTAAGATTCAGTAACTGGACGAACAGCTGGGGCTACATCATGCGCCCAGCCTTCCTCTCTCGCTCTCTCTGTCTCTCCTCTCTCCCAAGAATCAGCTCCCTGAGTCCAGTACCAGCCGCCAGCGCGAGAAGCCTTCTGCCGGGCTCCTCTGCCACCCTCGAAGCTGCCTCCACCTGTGCCGGCCAGAGCAGCACCGCCTAAGCTACCCATCTCAGGCTGCCCGCTTGGGAATAAAAAAAAAATCCACAGAGCATGAGGCCACGGGCATGACTCAGAGGAAATCAGGGCAGGATTTCAGATGATGGTCTGTCTCTCTCTAGGAATGACTCAGACCCGGATCCTAGTTTCGCTTGTGCCGTCACATCATGGCTAGATGGGTCGTGGTAGCGTCAGCTCTTCTCCGCTTGGCTGTCTGTGGTGCACCCCCGTGCTGTAATGATTGTGGGTGTCGGGGGTGCAAGCGGTCTCACGGCTGCATGCACAAAAGGGAGAGAGGAGGAGGAGGGACCTTTTTTTGGTGAAACAGGATGATGAGAAATAGCCGCGGTGTTCTCTGGTAGCCGGCGGGCTGGCCCTATTCAGGGGGACCCCTGCCACTCCCAGTGAAGAACTGCGAGAGGGATATGCGGAATCCAAATCACAATACTAGCTTTATTGCTCACCTTCACTACACCGGGGGGGGGGGAATACATGCCAAAAGCTGCTCTGGAAAGCTGTCTGAGTTGAGAGCCGTGGGCTGGACAAGATGGAGTTGACAAAACAGACTGTCAGAGCTGAGCATTCTTTCTTTATTTATTTATTTATTGGACTTATATACCGCCCCATAGCGCTGTCTCTTGGGCAGCTTACTGCCCCCCCCACCCCCAATTCAATGGGACCCACTCCAGTTGGGACAAGCACTTCCATTTAATTATCAAGGTGAGCTTCTCTCCCCCCCGCCCCCTGCTGTGCTCATGCCCTCCTCTCTCCCTCTCTTTGCAGTTCTTTGCCTGCCTGGTGCACTTCCATTTAATCATCAGGGTGAGCTGCACCCCCGCTAGCCCCTGCTGCACTCACGTCCTCCTCTCCCTCTCTCTTTGCAGTTCTTTGCCTGCCTGGTGATGATAGGCTACGGAGTCAGCGCCTGCCTCAGCATCCGAGCCTGGAAAGGGTACGGCAGCAACGCCGCCAGCAGCCAAGCGACGGTTCCCAATCACGCCTAAGAACGGAGGGGGCCATTCTGAATCAACGTGGCTCAGCTCGGTGGTACTGTAGTATGGCAGAGACTGTGGGGACTTTTCGGTGCTCAGTTCTCTCCCCGGCCCCCCGTTTCCTTCCCCTTCAGCATGGCCCACATCAAGACGCTCTTCTAACCCCACCTGTCGCAGGTGAAGTGCCTGACCCCTTCCTCCCACTAACCAGCATCCTTGATGGACTGGCTCGAGACCTGGTTGAGCCACAGGGACCGAATGCTTCGCAAGGCTGGCAAGAGACGCCTCGGCGCTGGACGATTTACACCTCCCATGTTTCCTGGGTTTGGGAACCACGTCAGCGCAAGCTGGCCGTTAAAAATAACACGGCGCCCAAAATACCGCGGCATGTCAGGCTGGGGTTTCCCCTTTTCCCCTCTGGAGACAGCCAGGATGGATCCAGGCTAGGGACCCCTGGCATGCAGAGCAGATGTTCTCGCCGAGCGATGGCCGAAGGCCGCGGGAAATGGTTGGTGGCGTGGGGTGAAGACGACGACCCACCTTCTCCGGCAGTCATGGGTGCCGTCTGCACTGGCCCAGAGGGGGCCCGTCTCTGGGGTGGCCAAGCCTGCGGCACATCTCACCACAACTAAATCGACTAAAACACAAACAGCGAGCCCCGTCTCCTCCCTTTCCGTCAGCCACTTGCAGCTTCTGTGTAAATAATATGTGATGGTTAACTTAGCAGTAGAGGTGCTTCGCCTGCAAGCGAACCCTGCCAGTATTTTATTATTTCTAAAAATAAAATCATTTCGTTTGAACGGAAAACCACCCCTAAAATTCTCACCTTTGTCCACCAAGGGCCTTCTGGAATCTGACTTATCAGGGGAGGGTGCTGGCATCCACAGCTTGCTCCTTTCTTATGAAGCGCCACAGAATCTAAAAATAACAGCTACTCTGTAATAAAAGCATACATGCACCAAAGGGTAGGTTGTGGTGGTTTGGTAAGGATATAAAGAGAAATGAAACATTAAAGGACAGATTTCTTTAACTCCACTTAACAAGTGCAAATGAATACATAGGTCTGGCCCTCTCCAGGGTTCTGTATTTAGATAGCCCGAAGGGATTATCTTTGAAAAGCAGTATAGAAGTATATAAATAAATAAATATTTTAACTTCTGTTGTTTAATTCAACACAAAAACATGACAGTTTTTTTAAAAAAAGTATCTCCAGAAGGTTTCTTTTGCTAGCGGGATGATTCTTAGCGTTGAGCTTCATTACAAGACATACATTAATAAACCAATGAAACAAGTAACAGCATATTCACCAAGGGAATCTAGACTGCAAGTGTATTCTTCACAGGGCACACATAACGCTTCCTATGCAGTTTGCCCCCCCCAACACATGCACACATTGTCTTAGGTAGGTCCAATGCGAATAGAACATCTTCTGAACAACCTGTTCAGTTTCAGCATCAATTAATCCAAGGGACGCCAACCAGCCTTTTGCAACTCTATACCCACAACCTCATCATCTCTAGCGAAAGGGCGTTTAACCTAATATGGATAGAGGCCACCTGGTTGCAGTAGGAGTTCTTTAAACACCTGTGGGTATGATTTGGAGGGGGGGGAACTTCCCCACTGTGTTGCTGATCCAGATGTGAAGGCGGGCTACAAGGACAAGCTTGAGTTTCCAACATTCCTGCTGCACGGCACCACTCAAGGTTGAAATGGTCATTCCAGCTTTCCCAGCTGAGGGCATGCAGCAACGTGTGATGTGGTTGTGAGCATTGAGTAGCCCTGCCAGAACATCTGATTCACGCATCTGGCATAGCCAGGATGCAAGAAGACACAGGATCGTCTCCAGGCTATTTTCATACGAGGGCGGCAGAAGCTGACGTAGAAGTATTGCACCATCCAAAAGGTTTCTCACACATACATTTATCATTTCATGAGGGTAGAAAGACACTTCTGCAGAAGGAAATGTTTCCTTTTTGTGTCTGTTTTAAATCTAACCCCAATGGATCTCGGACTCTCCTAAGCAATTTTGTCATTCCAGGGAGATCTTTGTAATCAAAAACCAGTTTTAGCTGTCACTTTCCTGAAAGAAAGCCAAGAAACTTAGTTCTCAGAGAGCAGTCGCTGAGGATCCTTGTGGGGGAAGCATAATAGTTAAACTCAGTTTAATTTTTTAATGCGGGCAAACACCCCACATGGCAAACTTAAAGCCAGCTTAGCTATCACAAAGGAACTTGGCCAACGATAATACTATGTGGGGAAAAGGTATGACATTTTCATCTGGTCTCCCCAAATTATAGCGCTCAAGGGTCCTTGGACATGTTAAAGAGTTAAGCTTAAGCACAAATATACCAAACACAGAACGTACGGAGCTCCCTGTTTATGCTAAAATATATACTCTTGGTAGTAACAATACATGGTTGTAATGCTTTCCAGAAGAACAAAATTTTGGTTTTCCAGGGGAGCAAAGTCCCTTCTGAAGTTCAAGTGAAAGGATTTAAGTTTGAGTCAAGAGAGTTAAAACAGTCAAGCCTGGGATAGAGGAAAACATACACATTCACAATTCCTCTCTCTCTATATATATAATATATATATATTCATATCAAACACACAAACATACAGAACCTGCTAAAGCTCAATATGTGTCATTTGAAACCATAAAAACCATTTGTGGTTCTGATGCTTTGTAGAGGCTGCACAATTAGAACCACTTCACACGAGGTGTGTGTTCCATGACATCTATCTCACAAAAGAGATGTGGCAGGACTTTGTGGGTTTTTATTATTATTTTAAATAGATTGTTGCACTTCTTCATTTCCATGACATAAAACGGACGTGGAGCAGGCACCAAATGAGGCCAGGTGCCTAAGGGATCATTATTCTACCAAGCCCAGAGGCAACACTAGTCACTGATTGGGGGGAAACACTTCATTCATATGAGAACAAGCTGAAAACAAGCTGAAAACGTTTGCTTGCCATGCGGTACTTTTCTGCCTCTTCTGGCTTGCCCACCCCCGTGGAGGCAGCTGTCTTTCGGACGCCAAAGCTAGTGTCGCAGGATGTTGTGGGAAGGCGACGTGGCAGACTTGCTTAAGGGTGTCACCACCAATCCGCTGCTTAAGTCCAGACCTCGACCTTCTTTCTCCTAGACAGAGATACAAACATCAATCTCAGCTCCGTGGCCTTTCTAAATAGCGGGCTTTCAATCAGAAAGTGAATGGTTCTCAGAAGAACATTCGGGCTTTTATTTTCTGCAGTGCTGGGGGCCAGATATTCCACATGGGATCTGGCACCTACTGCGGAAACCCTGGATGACCAAAAGATTAGCAAAGAGCTCTCCGGTTGTCAGCTGCTAAGGATGAAGCTGGAGAGGAGAAGCCAAAGACTAGGGCCCGATTCCACAGCCTGTTATTCCATGTTTCCCAGCCTCGCTGTAAGCCAGCTGGCCTCCGGGACCCATGTCCTACCCAGCAGGCTTGCTCAATGCCTCCCTCAATCACCCATGCACAGGGCTCTCTCTTGGTAACTGAAGCTAGAGCCCACGCAACACCGGCTGGCCCAATCTGCCAAACCGCAGCAAGTGCCCTTCTCCGGTATAAACATTCCGAAATCTCTCTTGCCCCTGACTCTCCAAATGCAAAGGCAGGGGAAATCACTGTGGCTGAAGGTTAGAAAGCACCTGCGTTACAAATTCAATCCCAGGAATCTCCTGATGGTTCACCCTCAGCTAGCAGATTTAATTGGACTGCATGGTCAGCGTACCATCCGGGCTTTGGGCTACTCACAGCTCTGTAATCCAGGAACATTTCTTTAAAGGCCAGAAAGTCAGTAAACGTGAGGAGCATGTCAAAAATATCCCCAGCTATTTCATCCTTGTGTTGCCTTAAAAAAGAGAGAGAGATTAAGATGTGTTATTAACAGAGAAAGACACGCCGACATTAAAGGCCATGAGGTTACAAAATCTAAACTGGGGGAAAAAAAGCTTACTAGGAAGACACCTCCCCCCTTTCAACACACACATTTTCACTTTTACATTTTATGTTCTCCATATAAGGCCTTTACAGAAAAGGAAAGCAACAGGCCTGCTAAGGGCAGCCTTACATAATCATCCCTCAGCAATCATCTGTTGGGATGAGGTAAAATACAAACTGACCATGTGTTGGTCAAGAGGAAGAATAAAGGCCACATCCACCAAAAAGACAAAGCAGGGTGAGGACACAGAAATCCACAAACAGACATGACTACAATATTTTAAAAATTATACAAGCATTTCCGAAGAAACAAACAAACCCACATGGGGCTTTCACACATTTCTTCTCTTACACCTGGGGATTCCCCCACTTCACCCCCGCTTTCCACAGATGTACCGACAGCAGCCATCGGTGATTTCTGTGGCTGCAGAAGCTAGCAGGGAGACGTGCTGCAGGAAGCAGAGACCTTTCCTTCAGCTGTATCCATGGGTGTCCAGTTTACGTGGGCAACGTGTGCCTGAGAGTGGACACAGGGGGAAAACTGTACACTCGGGCTTTAGATTCCAGCCGAGTGCACTGAGGATCTGTTAGCTCAGAATTGCCATCTGGGACAAAATCAAATAGATCTGATCATTGAATTACTTACTGGACACCAGATGTCATTCTGCAGTCTAACACGGAAACAACTGAACCATATTTCCAAAAAACAACAACAGGGTTAGCCGTGTGGCCCTTCATACAGTCCAGGAGTACAAGAAGTGATTCCCTTTATTTAGACGACTTAAAATGAAACATTCGAGGTAAGCTTGGGTGAATAAGATCCACTGAAGGAACTCAGAAGTACACCAAATGGCCCTAAGTCTGCAGGCCATTAAGTCCCTTAAAACAGAAAGAATACAGTGAACACTGACAGCGAAAGCACCCCGCTTACTGTAACGACAAGGTGAATGCAGACATGCTGAAGCCGGGAATCCTATCCAAGAGCTTCTCTTCAATGTATTTCTCAACTAAGCAGATCTAGAAAAGGGGAAGCATTGTATTATTATTGAAGAAAACAATATAAGGGGAAAAAAACCCTCACTGTTTGCTTGGGAAAAAAAAAGGTTCGCAAAGACTGGCCAACACTAACTTGACTTGGAATGGCTGGAGTACATGTGGGATCCGTAGGTAAGAGAAGCCCTAATCAGGCACTCCAAACAAACTGGAATCACTGGAATAGGAGTAGGAAGGGAGGGATGGCCCAGGGAGCTGGGGCTTGAGCACTTCTCCTTCCCTGCAGGCATGCAAGGTGGGATTTGGGGCTGCATGTGCACATGGCCACATATTATTTTCAACACACCTGATCCTTTCTGCCTGGTTAGGAGTTGAATAGGAGATGAGAGAGGGCTAAGGAAAGATTCCTGGCTGGAAACTTAAGAAAGCCATCACAGCTAACGATGGAGGGCTGGACGGACCACGGATGTTTGATATAGTTCACCTCCTTTCCACCTTCTGCCGTGTTCCCTGAATCAGCTGCAGGGCACGGTTTGGGGGCAATGCCAAGGTGTGGGAAGTCCATTCGGGGGATAAAATTACAGCCCTAACTTGTGCCTACCTTGTCTGCAGCCACAGTACTTAAGTCTCATTTCCACCTGAGTAGGTGACTTAAGCTTGAATGCCCTCAACATGCTGGCTCTCTGCCTGTCTTACAGGCCCTGCTAAAACTCACTAGAATCCAGCCTCTTTCAAAAGACCAAGCTCATCAATATGTGCAGAAAAGAGGATGCAAATAAAACACATGCACTTACATATTCATTAAAAATAGGTGTGTAAATTAGCTTATTCTCCTCTGTGTCATCAAACTCTTGGTAGTACTTCTCCATGAAGTTTCTTTGTATCAGCTGGAAGTCATCATCTGAAATCACAAAACAGTCACCGCCAGTGTGACCACAGAACTGGCAGACAGTAGCTGCATTCATTCGGGTGCTGTCCCCAACTTCGAGTCTAGT